TGATTCGATCAAAAGGGTTAACTTGAACTACAATTTGATGGAAAGTTGAAAAATTTTATTAAAGCAAGGTTTCACTCCTCGGACCTGTGGATTATCGGCCCACACCTCCTGCGTTCGATTATCGGCCCACACCTCCTGCGTTCGATTATCGGCCCACACCTCCTGCGTTCGATTATCGACCCACACCTCCTGCGTTCGATTATCGGCCCACACCTCCTGCGTTCAAAATATCCCTATCAAAGTCAGGTTTCACAATCTGTGGGTTATGGGGGCTCACAAGGCTTCTCTGCGTTCAAAATATCCTATCAAAGCCAGGTTTCGATCCTGGGACCTGTGGGTTATGGGCCCACCACGCTTCCACTGCGCCACTTTGATAGCTAAACATTATATACTATCATAGATTGATTCGATCAAAAGGGTTAACTTGAAATATCCTATTAAAGCAAGGTTTCGCACTTGGGGCCCACAAGGCTTCCTTGCGTTCAAAATATCCTATCAAAGCCAGGTTTCGATCCTGGGACCTGTGGGTTATGGGCCCACCACGCTTCCACTGCGCCACTTTGATAGCTAAACATTATATACTATCATAGATTGATTCGATCAAAAGGGTTAACTTGAAATATCCTATTAAAGCAAGGTTTCGCACTTGGGGCCCACAAGGCTTCCTTGCGTTCAAAATATCCTATCAAAGCCAGGTTTCGATCCTGGGACCTGTGGGTTATGGGCCCACCACGCTTCCGCTGCGCCACTTTGATAGCTAAACATTATATACTATCATAGATTGATTCGATCAAAAGGGTTAACTTGAAATATCCTATCAAAGCCAGGTTTCGATCCTGGGACCTGTGGGTTATGGGCCCACCACGCCTCCGCTGCGCCACTTTGATAGCTAAACATTATATACTATCATAGATTGATTCGATCAAAAGGGTTAACTTGAAATATCCTATTAAAGCAAGGTTTTGCACTTGGGACCTGTGGATTATGGGCCCACAAGGCTTCCTTGCATTCAAAATATCTTATCAAAGCCAGGTTTCGATCTTGGGACTTGTGGGTTATGGGCCCACCACGCTTCCGCTGCGCCACTTTGATAGCTAACCATTATATACTATCAAAGCCAGGTTTCGATCAAAAGGGTTAGCTTGAACTACAATTTGATAGAAAGTTGAAAATATCCTATTAAAGCAAGGTTTCGCTCCTGGGACCTGTGGGTTATGGGCCCACCACGCTTCCGCTGCGCCACTTTGATAGCTAAACATTATATACCATCATAGATTGATTCGATCAAAAGGGTTAACTTGAAATATCCTATTAAAGCAAGGTTTTGCACTTGGGACCTGTGGATTATGGGCCCACAAGGCTTCCTTGCGTTCAAAATATCCTATCAAAGCCAGGTTTCGATCTTGGGACTTGTGGGTTATGGGCCCACCACGCTTCCGCTGCGCCACTTTGATAGCTGACCATTATATACTATCAAAGCCAGGTTTCGATCAAAAGGTGAAAATATCCTATTAAAGCAAGGTTTCGCTCCTGGGACCTGTTGATTATCGGCCCACACCTCCTGCGTTCAAAATATCCTATCAAAGCAAGGTTTCGATCCTGGGACCTGTGGGTTATGGGCCCACCACGCTTCCGCTGCGCCACTTTGATAGCTAAACATTATATACCATCATAGATTGATTCGATCAAAAGGGTTAACTTGAAATATCCTATTAAAGAAAGGTTTTGCACTTGGGACCTGTGGATTATGGGCCCACAAGGCTTCCTTGCGTTCAAAATATCCTATCAAAGCCAGGTTTCGATCTTGGGACGTGTGGGTTATGGGCCCACCACGCTTCCGCTGCGCCACTTTGATAGCGGACCATTATATACTATCAAAGCCAGGTTTCGATCAAAAGGTGAAAATATCCTATTAAAGCAAGGTTTCGCTCCTGGGACCTGTGGGCCGATGACCTGTGGATTA